CCGAAAATTCTAGATCTCAAATCGTCTTCCGAACAGATATTTTCGAAAATTGTAGTTGGGTGCCCCTGATTATACATGTATTTAAAACTAAATAAACCGAACAAGTAAGTTCTGTGGATAAATTAAATACATGACGGAGCTGAAGTTTGTATACATTCCTTGCACCGTATAAAGGAAGTTAAATGGGAATGAATAAAACCACTTGAAGGGTACACTGTATAAGTTTATTAATACATTTAGCTTACATTGCTTATCAAAATGTATGTACGAAAACGATTGTCGTATGCATATTTTGCGACTCAGCCGCAATCAGTCTCTGGTTTTTTTTTTATTTTCGCCAAGAAGTTTACCTGCATTAGCCTCGCAATCATGCCAAGAAGGCTCTCGTTCCAGCTTCACCGTAAGCCTTTACCTTAAACTCATTTTACTCGTGTCACACCCATCACCCAAACAAGAGAAATTAGTGAAAGCCAAGTAATTTACTTCAAGCTAAGGTTATTATTCCCACTGTGAATTGCCAGACTTGATAAGAATTTTAGTCAAATGTTCTAAGTGTTTGAAAACTAAAGTGATGTTATCGTCTGTGGCATTTACTACCGGTATAATCCAGGACAAACACCTTATCGATCAAAGCAACTATATATTCAAACCAAAACACATAATACATAGTTACGGAAAATGCAATGGAAATATCTATCATCTAGGCTACAGCAGTATTCTCTGTTATTTCAGATATGATATGGAGTAGCATTGGCAAAAACAGGAAAAAAAGATATAAAGTCCCATTTTCTCAGTCTTTAAAAAATAGATTAAGGATTAAACAATTTTCACAGCAGAGCAATGATGCTATTCGAAAATTTTTCTCCAGTGATCAAATATTTTCACTCCACTGCTTCTACAATATATTTCTAAGAAATCATGACTGTTATTATTTGATTGAATTGCAAAGCATCCATTCAACACAAAGTTATGTAATAAGGCTCGCGAAATATGGCGGTTTCGCTCAGACTTTTTACCGCGCTTTAACTTGATAGGGAAAGAGGCCAGATCAACGCAAGAGTGGTTTTTATGATCTGTTCTAAAACAACGAAAGGGTAGCTTCGGGAACGCATTCCCATTTGATTTACCTCAACGAAGTGGTGGATACTTTCTTATCTATGAATAAATTCATAAGACAACATTTTGCTTGTGCTACTTCTTTCAAAACGCCTTTGTCTTGACTGTTTTGGAGGCGATTTAGATCCATTTTATAGACATGGTGGAATGATGGAAGTTAAGGAGGGTTGTTTTTTACTTGGTAGATCACGCTTTGCGGCAATGCAAATGTACCAAATTGGGAAATCGTGATTTTGTGCCCAAGTTTGCGGAAAGAAAATAAGACAGAACTATGTGGTTTTATTAATAAATGATCGGTCAAAACCTCTATTGTGTCATGAATCAGTGCTCGCTTCTGGCAATACTACTTTTTATAAAAAAGAGCGGATTACGAAAATGAAAATGCCTAAAAATGAACGAATTAATGAATGAAAAACTTCATTAATGTGTCGAAAGATCTAGAGTAAGAATATTCCCTGCACTAACTGGGGACACCTAATTATTTCCACAACTGTACATAAAATTGTTCATATCTTATGAGATAAAATACAATTAAAAACTGAGCTATATAAATTGCAGTAAAATGCTTATCAGTATAAATATAATCATAAGTATAAAATGCTGTGTATAAAAGTATAAAATTATGAGTATAAAGTTCTGATTTCTAAAAAGGTGGAAAATGGTTACGTACAGTGTAATAACAAAAGGTGATAAAATATAAAAGCCTACACTAGTTTTGACGAAGGTAACAATTATCACAGTCTGGCCGATGAGGCTACTAATTAATCCTTTTGTAAAGATTGACGTCAGTATTTCGGATGATCTAATGTAGCTGTCCAATTTTGCCCAGATTGTAGGGCCAAGATAGCACAGGCTATGTTTGCCATATGCTTGTGAATTAAATCGAGGTATAATAAAATCAGCGTTTCTAAGGTGGTAACCACGGTTATTCAGTTTAAAAAGGTCTGCTATGTCACATAGCAGACGTTTTTAAAATAACTTATCACCTGTTATTTTTCACGTTGAGTACATAACTGTGGCCATTTCTTGTAGCCGACGATTCCGCAAAGTAGGCAAATCAGCCTTGCTAGAAAATAGACAGTACGTGTATACATGTAATAGCGCTCTCTCTTGAAGTTTTTCTAACTTTCTGGTGTCTGAGGCGCGACAGAAGTGTCATATCAATTGGCAGTAAGTGAGAGTCCTCTTTAGCGGGTGTCCATAATAGCGGGAGTTTATTTCAGTCAAACATCTGTACTTTGTTTTTGCCAGAGATTTGGTTGCTGTCTGTATTATTATATTGGGGTGTCCGCAAGGTGAGAATTGACTGTACTCGCCATCTTGTTCCTCCGGAGTAGTCAATCGATAATAGCAATCAAGTCATTTTTATCGATTGATAACGGAAATCGGTTAAAATTGATAAACTAAGTTGCTGTGTCAAATAGATATTATCTATTTTTCATGATTTTAAAGATTTATAACGGTAAGTCCGACATTGTTGTTTTTTGGCATAAGTTAAATATCACAGCTGAGAAAACACATACACGAGTAACAACTGATCAACAAACATGAAAATACGAAATGTGGAAACTATTAAAGACAACATTCTCTCTAAGCCGTATCTTTTTTACATAATAACAAAAACGGTTCGGTTTAATTACTTTCGCAGTTCTCGCAGGCAACTACCACGAGAAATTCAATCTTAGATAAAAGACTTTCCAGCCTGAATTTCCGACATCCTCTAAGGTCGAAGGGATGCTTGAAATTGAGGCTAAAAGATTTCCCTAGATATTTTTTTAACCGTTTTTCGTTATCAATTGATAAAATCATTTGATCGCTGACGATTTCTATCGATTTCGATTTTTATGTATTGGCAACTCCGGGAAATAACTACACGCGGAACTGATGTTGTTTTGAAAGGGGGCAGATCTAAATCGTGAAAAACTGCATGGTTGCCTACAAACCTGGCCAATATCGGCCATCAGAAGAAGACTTTAAAGCTGGTTTTAAAGAAAAGATAAGATTTTTTTAAAAAAAGTTATAATAAATTGTTTGATCCTTCGACTCTCAATTGCAGCTCAATGGTCAACAAATTCACTGTTTGCATGAAATCAGTTTTCATTTTTGGATAAAAAATAACAGGATGTATATATAAAAATCTATGGAATCGGTAAAATCTAGATAAATCGATAAACGAAACGAGGGTGTCATCGATTTCTACCGATTGATCGATACAATCGATATCAATCAAATCAAATTTACCGATTTTTATCGATTGACTACTCCGGGTGTTCTTTTGTTTCGAGCCAAAGCTTTATGGTTTGGTGTTTGGAGAAGTCACCTTTCAAATAATTTTTGTCATACCACTGTCACACTCTATTCCCTTCTTTGTCAAAATTTTCAAGTCGCCGGTAATACCGTAAAATTCCGAAAATAAGCCCCTCCATGTATAAGCCCCGCCAAATATAAGCCCCCAATCCGGTAACGCAAAAAACCCTCCGTTAAATCGCCCCTCCAAATATAAGCCCCCCGGGGGCTTGTACTTGGAAAATTGCCCTCAAATACAATGTAAAACAAAGCAAAAACGGTAAATTTACTTCCAACTATAAGGCTAGCCCAATCGATTTTGAAACGCAAATTTCCCTCCGTAGATAAGCCCCTCCGAATATAAGCCCCTCCAAAAATAAGCCCCTCAAAAAGAGCCTTTGAAAAATATAAGCCCCGGGGCTTATTTTCGGAATTTTACGGAACCTTAATGCCAATTGGTTTTTGTAAGGAGGTCCATGTTGTTAAGTCGTGAAGTTCCTTAATTCTCAATTGTAGTATAATAGTTGTTTCCTACTGTCTTGGGCGGTCTGTAGAGGCCAACAAGTACAAAGTCCTGGCTGACAAATTTCAATTCAATCACTAGGGATTCCAGAGTTTTAAATTTCCTAGTCAGGCTTAGCTTCTCAGAGGGTAATTTCTCAGAAATATACGCCATTACACCTTAGCCTCCTTTAGCACGGTCATTTGTATAGATGTTTTAACCATTCAGTGCGAACTGACAAATTGGATAAGAACAATCAATGTCAATGTCATTGTCAATGTCAATCTTCATTTCCGTTCATCAGCAAGTGAACCTCTTGAACTTTATTTTGTAAGCTATTAACATTTAGATGCATTAGGAGTATCTCTCGAGCATCTTTTGATCTGTTAAACGAATAATCATTTACGTTGTCGATCGTTCGGTTTTCATTTGCTTCTTCTTGCTCGATATTTGCATAAGATCCATCTTAATTAAAAACGAATTACCAATTTAACTTTGGTAAACTTTCTGTACAACACTTCGAGAGTAGTAGGAATTATTCCTTTAATTAGAGCACGTAATAGAAAGGTTTGCTTCTAAATTTGATTTTGGGTGTGCATCACGGCTTTACCATAACGGCATTGGTATTCCGTTAAACAATAAAAGTCACCATTTCTAGGTTTCAGTATTCTCGTCCCCAGATCTACTCATTTGTTTTCAAAACTGACTGCGCATGATCCGAGATAAAATTTCTTGCGAAAGAGGCTGAAAACACAGTATTATGCATTTTTACTATGTTTTATACGTCTCATGAGAAGATCGACGTTTTCCCCCGAGACTATCTTTAGAAGTTCTATCCGTCTGAGGCAGACGGATAGAACATGTTGGTCAATGCACACCAAGAGACACTCATTAAGACGAACTTAACTGAGCCAGACGTCGAACATTTCATGAACTTAACTCAGCAATTGAATTATAACTCGGACTTTTGAAATAAGTCAAATTATCTGGAAGGCAAAAATAATTTAAAAGTCATGTATTTCACAGGATGTATGATCGACAAGTTAACTCGTTGACCTGTAGTTTCTCCATATGTTTTAGCAAAACTGTATAAAAGATGGCTGGAAGACGAAATCGTGGAAACGTTCCACTGCATGAAGAGGACGACAATCGAATGGAAGAGCTAGAGAAGTTACGTGAACTAACCAAAGAAGGCGACCCTACTGAATGCGAGGGACTTATTCGAGAGTTCCACAAAAAGGTTTTGGCAGTTAAAAAACCGGAAACCAGGGATAACTTGCTTGCTGAACTGAAAAAATTTTCCAGCTGTGGACTGAGCAAGGAACTACAGGAAAAGATTTCGGAGAGGGGTTTGAGCTTAGAAGGACTTAACCTTGTGCTGCAATATCTGACAACGACAAACGACCTCGCCCAGTACCTTTTTGCTTGTTCTGAAGAAGATGTGAAAAAAGACGGTCTTGAAGTTGTGAAAAGGAAGCTAGGACCAAGTCTAGAAGTTCTTGGGGGATTGGTTTCCAAGAATATAGATACTAACAAGGCTTGGGTCGAAAGACTAGTCAACGCAGTGCCATCTCTTCAGTCACTTGCTCGTATCTCCATCAGCGACCTAACCACATTGTGCGAGGAAGGCGAAGGGACAGCTAGTCCTGGAGAAATGGATGTAGTCCGCAACCTTATAAAAGTAGCTGAATCCCGTTCTAGACAACTTTCTACCCGTGAAGAAGAACCAGATAAAGGGGGAAAGGAGGAGAAAGGGAACATTATTGACGAAGAAAAATTGGAGAAAGCCAGGGCTCTCATGAAAGAGGCAAAAGAGGAGGCAGCAAAACAGTCGGCCGAAGCTAAAGAGGCTGTTCAGAAGAAAATGGATGACATCACAAAAATCCTTCAGCTGCCATCAGACTGGTCTAAACAAGAGAATGGAACTGATCAGAAACAACTGCTAAATGAGATGGACAAAATGATTGGACAGTTTGATAACGTCGTTGAAGTGGGTGGACCTTACAAAAGCGACATTGAAGTTGTGGAAAAAGCCAGCGGTGGCCGTGCTCTCTGTGGCATCTATTTCTCCCAGTATGTTCCATCACGTACAGCTGAAAGACCGCTCATAACTAAACCTGCAAAAGTAACACTTTGCAGCCCTAACAATTCTCAGCAGATTAGATACTTAAAATTTTCCGAAAGCAGGGCTGCGGCTAACTACGTTCAAACTGTCAAATCTTCAAGCACGAACATTGGTTATAGTGTTGGTGGATTTGCTTCACTTTTTGTTGGTGAAGTACACGGAAGCTACGGTTCCAGTCAAGAGGAAGGAAGTGTTTTTTCAAAAAAAGCAAAAACTAACTCTGCCTCTGTGTTGCAGTACATTTGGGTTGCGACAAAAACGTTTAAGATAGAACAAGAACAGATGAGGCTGTCCATGAGTGCAAGGAAAATGGTAATGTCAATCAAGAAGTACGGAGATCCGAACCAGCGCCAAGAAGCTGCTCGTAACTTTATGACCCGCTATGGGAGCCATTTGCCAGCCGGCCTGCATACACTTGGTGGGGTACTTTTCAACACTGTCGATGCCGAGAGCGCCGACGAAGTGGAAACATCTCAGTTAACATCGAAAGCCGCACAGCATCTTCAGAATCAAATATCCGTAGGTTTCCTTGGGGGAGCATTTGGAATAGGAGCTAGCGTTAGTGTAGACCATACCAGCAGCACTGGAAGCACAGTGGCCACTCATCAGGAGACAGATAAAACCTCGTATACTTTCGCTATTCAGTCGATGGGACCAGCTGCGACAAATCCAGTCACATTCAGCAAGTTGCTGGCCAACAATTCAACATGGGCTTTGATCGACCGTGGGGACCATAACGCTTACATCCCAGTTTGGGAGCTGATAAGAGATCTTGGCAGCGGTTATGATGAGGTCGCTCAAATCCTGCAAGATACTTGGAACGAAGACGAAAAAATCAACCGGAAAAAGAGCCTTAAAGTTGAATTCAAAATAATGAGTCTCATAAAGAAGGACCTGGAAATAAGGAGAGACGAATACACAAGAAGGGTTGGTTGGCATTTATTTTTTAAAGACGAATATTTTTGTGGGCTTATTTCTTCTCCTCTTGCTTGGAGTCTCTTTTCCTACTTAATGCCTAGTACTCTTCTGAAACGTGTGTTGCCAATACAATGCACTTTGTTGTTCTATTGTTTGAAATATACTAGTTTCATGAGGCTAATTAATTTTACTTTACGACCGTACTACAAATCATCAAGTACAGTACTGAAAAATAACTAAGATCCTTCTGAACCACATGCGTTAACTTGTTTTGTAGTGAAAAAGGGCAATCAGCAGATCCAGCAGCGGGAATAAGCCAAGCATTACATTTTTTCTTTACTTGATGCAGAGAAAAATTTTAAAATTTAAAAAGATCCCTGAAGTGAAATTCAAGTTAAGACCTGAGACTAAGATTTAAGAGCCAATGTCTGTAATTTTCGAGAATCGGTTGACAGTCGTGAATTTTTGAATTTCTTCATATTTTGCTCAAATAATCTCTATAGTACACTAATTTCAAAAATCACGTTAAAACTTGTAACAGCGTTTTATTTTTTCAGGAATCAGGCAAAGTTTGGAAAACTCTAAATCGGCGCTCTTTCGAGTATGAAATTAGCAAAAATTGAGCATTTTCTTCGCGCTCGTACATAAAAACGGAATAATATCTCTAGATGAAATCAAGTCACAAAACAGACACACATTTTTACTCTATAATTCAGCAGTTAACTTTAAATAAACCGTTTAAATGTGACTGTACCGGCCGCAAGAAGAATCACGGTTTCAGCACTTTTCAAAAATGGCAAATTTGACCTAACTTCACCATCGTAAAAACCCAGTTGGTACACGGAATTTCAATATGAAACAAGACCTGTATTGAAGCATATCCTTTGCTGTTGCTTGTGTTAAAATATTTCTGGCGGCATTCCAAATGCGCACCGTCGAGAGACCAAAACCTGAAGGGTATTTTGACACCAGGAAAGCGCGTGCAACTAGCAAGTTTCAACGCTTGGAATATTAATCCCTCGCAAACCTAAGTTACTTCGGCATTTAAACCCTAGTCCGAGTTGTAACGGTTTCAGATTATATTTAGGCGTTTCTGTTCGGTTTAACATGATTCCTTTCAACTGATTTTTGCGATAAACCATAATGAAGAGACGAATACGCAGTTCAAATCACAGTTAGTAGAGGGGAATATTGTCGAAATACTCGCTTGCTATAGTTTTAATCGTATTGAAACCTTAATATCAGAAAAGTTATTTACTTACCTGAATTTAAATGCTAGACGGGGTCACAGTACCGCTAACTAAATTCTGCATCACGGCAGAATCGAAGTTAAGTTTGCATATGTTTTCAATCTGTCAACACGAGGGAAGATGACATTCTGGAAGTGCGTGACGCGTAACGCGCCGAAAAAAAAAATTCCTGGTATAAGTGTTTTACGGTGCAAGTCTTTGTTGTATGTTCGTATAGCATCTCGCACATATTCAAACTTGGTTTGTGGCGCCTGTGGCCCCAGTAATGCTGAACGTATTGCGATCATAGAAAAGATGTCGTGAGTCACTTGGTATGCTCCTGACTTGTTAGTCACGTGAGTATGTAGGGCAATAACCAAAAATGCAAACATCGACCCTACCATGCTAATGATAAAAGTAAGGTTTTCTGCATTTACGTTAGGTGATCTTTGTTCGATCCACAAAATTGGCGCATGAAAATAAGAGTTTTTCTTCACCACCTCTAAATGTTTGGTTCCGGGTAGCGGTGCCACAAATCACGTGTTACCGTTCTAGATCAACCTACTGGCTGCTCATTGAGGGGTCCATAAAGGCACATTGATTGATGACTGCGTATGGCCTGAACTGAAAATGATATACTCAGACGTTTTCTGAGCGACGAATGAGCACCTTTTACACTCCTCTTTCGTTTCGAAAATAGACGAGCACGCGAGCGAAGCGAGCGCGCGAGAGAGAGCCCCTTGCTCTACTGGTCAATAAATCCCCCGCGGCTTTTATTTTCATACGCAAAATCGACGATCTTCAAACAGAAAATAGATCGACGATCTCCAGTGAAAAAGTAGAGGGTCTGTGAACAAGCTACGAAGGTGCTTGCTATTATTTTAGTGAACTTTACAAGAGGTCTCAGGTGATTATGCTAACGTCATGAAAAGTCTACTTTAGGGAAGGAGGAGGAGATGGGTGGGTTGGTTGGCATTGGGTTCTCCTTTGGGATCAACCCTACACATACAAAAATTCATGTCTTTATCACTACATTTAGAGCTAACAGACTTTGTTTGATCCACAAAATTGGCGCATAAAATCAAAAGGTTTTCCTCACCACCGCTAAATGTTTGGTTCCGGGTGGCGGAGAACAGAGCACGTTGTACCGTTTCAGAACAGCCTACTGGCCATGCTGGCTGATCATTTAAAAGGGGTCCGTAAAGGCACATTAATTGATGACTCTGTGCGGCCTGAAGAAAATTATATACGCAGACGTTTTCTGAGCGACGAAGGTGCTGTCTTTACACTTCTTTTTCTTTTCGAAAATGGCCACGGACTTCTCTCCTAGCTCCTCGCCGCTAGGCGGTCGTTTTTGCCTGAGAGATACCACCACGAAGGAGTTTTAGCACACAAGTCACTGCAGGTGCAGACCTAGGAAAAGGGCATTCTCCATCTGAAATTTTAAATCGAAATGAAAGGCTGTTTTCAGCCTTTTATTTCTTTTCTCCGCAACGTATTTGGTTAAAAGAGAGTAAGTAAAATGGATGAGGCACTTTAAAGCTTTTTTTTCATTTTCGCGACGGATTTTGACGTTATGAAAAAGAACTTGTCAGTGAATTGGTTTATTTTCTAGCCTGCGAACAAGTGCCGGGGGGATGGTGGCGGATAGAGCAAGGTGACTACACCTTTTTTCAGGCGGGAGCTAGCAGTACGTACATTCTGGTCTACCCCATACTGTATAGACTGGCCTTTGAGGGCCTCTGTTCGGGGGGCGAGGGATCAGTACAATTCGTCATCAGCAGGGTGAGGTCTCGCCAGAAGATGCCCTTGCTGCAGAGGAGCAAAGCAATACTACTTTCAGTAATTTAAACATCATACTTGTATTTCGCTCATCAAATGTGTCCATTGTCCATTTTCGATTTGTGGTTTTTCAGAAAGCTTTACTCGTTTCCATTTCCCTGCTCTACCCTCATGTTGCATATGGCGTACGTGTGTACCTAAATCCTTCAATTCATACTGAGGTGATCGATAAAGAAGTCTATACGCTAATCGGGGTTAAGATTAGTTTGTTACAAGCAAAGGCGCGGAAGGCTAAGTGCAAATAAAAAAAACTAGTGTGAAAAGTTTTGCAGACTCGGCTTACTCTATTTGTTTTCTTTCTCTATTTGAGTTTCGGCTGGTTACATCCTAAAATCAAGTTTAGTTCCACATGTTTTGGGAATATAAAAAATAAAACTAAAAAAAACATTGTTAATTGTACACTCGTGCGATGATTTATCCTTGTCTATACAGTTGCGTGACCAGACTCAAATTACACACGGGCTTTCATCACGCATCACAGCGTTTAGTCTGAGACTAAACGACGGAAGATTTCAGTAAACTGCGGCCACTTGCGGTTGAAACGACTGTGGTAAGTAATTCTTAGAGATCTCGAATCCTATTTAGAGCTAGCACGCCGTTTCTAGAGGCTTTATTTTAGGTGCAGAAACTCGAAGTTAATATATATTTACACTCCATGAGAACTTAACAGCGTTGTCTTTTTCAGCTACTTGCGTGCAATCAAATGCAGTGTTAATCTACTTAGTTCTTTTTTATAATCATCAAATTGAAAAGCGTTTTTCAAAAGATTTTTAGAGCTTCCCGTAATGTGCCCCTTGTAAAAGAAGCTAAGTTAGCAAAAACTTTTGAGTGCCTACACTCGCGGCTAGCTTGTTTTCAGCGTTCCAACGTGCGAAACTACGCTGCACGTTTCGGTGTCTCAGCGACGCACTTTTGTAATGCCGCCAAAAATTTTTTAACACAAGAAACGGCAAAGAATATGCTTTTAAACAGTGTTTGTTTCATGTTGAAACTCCATGTATCAGTTGTTTTTTTTGATGGTGAAGTTAGGTCAAATTTGCCATTTTTGAAAAGAGCCGAAATCGTGTTTCTTCTTGCGGCCAACAGAGTCACATTTAAACAGCTTATCTAAAGATAATTGCAGAATTATAAAGTACAAGTCTGTGTTTTCTTTGTGACTTGATTTCATTTAGAGATGTCATCCCGTTTTTATGTACGAGCGCGAAGAAAATGCTTAATTTTCGCTAATTTCATACTCGAAAGAGCGCCGATTTGGCGTTTTTCAAACTTGCCCGATTCAGGAAAAAATAAAAAGCCGTTACAAGTTTTAATGTGATTTTTGAAATACGTGCACTATAGAGATTATGTGGGCAAAATATGAAGAAATTCAAAAATTCACGACTGTCAACCGATTCTCGAAAATTACAGACATTGGCTCTTAATGCTTTGCTTTGTTTTAGAAACCCGATAAGGAAAGCTTCGGGTACTTTCCGGCAAATGGTGCACCGATGACATTCAGCTTTCCCACACTCAATTTGTCACGAGAAGAGGCATATCAAACAGCTTTTGAGATTATCATGGAGGATCCAAGATACCGCATCTGTGAGATTGCTCTGTCCGCTGGAGACAAGTACACAGTGCGCTGCTGGAAAGCCGTAGACGCTGAAAAAATGAGGTTTGAGAATGCGAAAGGTGAACATATCTTGTTCTACAGTGACCTTATATTCCGGTGGAAAGACGATATTCCTAAAGCCTTGTTTTAAGAACGCTTAATGATAGCGTAAAGTGAGGATAAAGTATTAATTTCGTTCCTTTTCTCCTCCCTTGTCCCTTGTTTACACCTGATAAAGCACCGAGCGTTCCTTTTAAGAGAGAGTCTTAATGGGGTTGTGGTATTTTTTGTATCGCTTGTTAGGGTTAACAATGAGATGTCTAAAAAGAATCACTGACCTTTTTAACGGCTCAACGAAATGTTTTGATGATGTCTTGGACTCGGCTTAACGACTACACTCTCAAGCTCCTTTCTAGTTAGTAGTTAATCCCATCTAGACCACCTCTAAAATAACAGTTTTTCTACAGTTAGATTTTGTGATCGTCGAAAGTTCTATCCACCCCTTTGTTGAAGTAACGGCACTAAGTTACCTATTAGAACAATAATCAAATGTAGCCTGCCCCGATTGCCATTCTCACTTTGAATTTGAAGTGTTTCAAAAAACATACTGACAGACTATATCACAGTTTGCTAGAATTCGTTAAGCAAGGTGTATAGTATGACTATCCGGCGTAGTTTGTACATTCTGCACTTTTTTATTGCTGGAACAAATAGTTGCCATTACTTTGAGCTTTTCATCCGTGAAAAAGGCCTTTTACAACGGAAAACTGAATATGTGTGACCAATTCCGTTGAATATAAATGGACTGGAAGTTACTATACAGCTATTTCAAAAAACGTTGTCGGAAGAAAAGCAAAATGTTTTCAAGCCAAGACCGAAAGGTAATGTGGGTTGTTTCAAATCCTTCTTTTGCTGGCAAACAATCACTCCACTAAATTTATTCGTCATTTATACTGAACCATACTGATCACTTTAGTTTTTAAAAAAGCACAAGGTAAAATTACGTTTCAGTCGAAGTGCACTCTTACTTATTCTCATCTTTGAAAGCAATTTTGTTCAGCTAATTAGCAAGGAAAAATGACATTAAATTTTACATTTTACATTTTATTAATTTGCATACCGCAGTAACGAAGTGGGCGAAAAAAAAATTATTATAAACAAAATTTTTTCCGAATAATGGTTCCTATTCAAGAGCTAGTTAAAGCTCAGTGCAGGTAATATTTTGCACTACCAGCATGTGAGAATGTATGGACGACCACATCGCCTTTATTCCACCTCGTTCAATTTTTTAAATGATGGCGATTCCCCTGGAAATGAATTCTAAAGGACTAGTTTCTAGTTTTAAAAACTGTGGTCTGCTGTTCACTTCCCCAATAACACATGACACATTTCAAGCCGTAGTCGGGCAACAACGGCCACGGACAAAAAAGCGTGATGCACGAGCAAATTAAGTTGTTGTTTTGCTAATTTATACCCATTGTTGTTCACGGTCTCTTTTGTCGCCACTGTATTTGCTTAAGTTCCCTACTGTTTGAAGGCCCTCCAGCCACCTCTGTTTTAAGAGTTGTCCAACGTTTATAAATACTCTCACTTACCGAAAGACGTTCCATACTGTTCTCAGGGACATACTTGAGTGGCTGCAAAACTCCTATAGGACCTGTAGCAGGTCATGATAAAAATCCGATATTACCTTTCGGTCTTGGCTTAAACGTTTTGCTTTTCTTCCGACAACGTTTTTTGAAATAGCTGTATAGTAACTTCCAGTACATTTATATTCAACGGAATTGGTCACACATATTCAGTTTTCCGTTGTAAAAGGCCTTTTTCACGGATGAAAGGCTCAGTGTAAAACAGCTATCGGTAACATGAATCTCCGAGTCACACTTTAAATAGGACATTTGCACGATGGCGTCATTTTACTACTACGACCAGAATCCTTTTCGTTTTTCCTTTCATATTTAAATTTTGGTAATCCCAGTGAGGTTTGAATAACAAGAGCCCTCATTAGCACAAAAAAGCAAAACCCTGAAGGATTCTGGTCGTAGTGGTAAAATGATGGATGCTGTCATCGTGCAAATGGCCTATTGACCAATCATTGCAGCTGGCTACAATAATATGGCGAGTACTCTCTTGAGTGTTACCTTTTTACTTCAGTATCTAAAATTAATTTTGCGTGTATATTTGAGTTTTCAAACAGTGAGATCAAAACATTGTTAACTATTTCCATAAAGCTTTACCTTTTTTACGAAGATTTGTGTGTCTATAGGTGGTTTTCACGTTACGTCATCGCCGCCATGCTGGTGGACGGTAA